AAATAAGCTCGGCATCGTAGCAAACACCTGTGCTCCCAGCTATGTGGGAGGCCTTGGGTAGTAGGAGGATCACAGTCTGAGGCTGGCCGTGGGCAAAAACACAAACCCTATTTGAAAAGTAACTGAAGCAAAAAAAAAAAAAAAAAGGGCTGGGGGCATGGCTCAAGTGGAAGAGTGCTTGTAGCAAGCATGCGACCCTGAGAACAGTCAAAAAGAAAAAAAGACAAAAAAAGTCTTTCCCTATACCAAGAATAAAGAATACAAGTCAGTGCTCACGCCTGTAACCTAGCTACTTGGGAGGCTGAGATCAGGAAGATCAAAGATCATCCAAAATAACCAGAGCAAAAAATGGACTGTAAGTGTGGTTCAAGCAGTAAAGCACCTACTTTGCAAGTTCAAAGCCCTGAGTTCAAACCTCAGTCCCACCCAAGAAAAAGAGGAATTCAGTCATGTTTCCTTGTAGTGGATGTACAGTTTTATTTTTTATATTTAGATTATTAATCCAATGGTGTTTATTGTATCTCTCTAATTTTACCTTTTTCCAAATGGTTACCTATTTTCCTCAACACCATTTATTAAAAAGTTAGCCTTAGGGGTGACTGTATAACTCAGTGGCAGAGCACTTGCCTAGCATATTGCAAGGCTCTGTCTTTGATCCTCAGTACCACACACACAACACACACACACAAAGTTAGCCCTGATGCCAGTGATCTCAGACACCACCTGTCATACACTAAATTGCTATACATATGTGAGTCTAATTCTGTTTCCTTTTTCAGTGCTTTCCTAGCTATTCTTTCATGTTTGTTTTTCCATATGAACTTAAGTATCAACTTTTACAACACAGGCTTTTTTTTTTTTACTATAACACAAATTGTTGGTATTTTTATTGGAACTACATTATCTTTATATATTAACTTGGGGAGAATTGAAATTTAATGTTGAATCATCCCATCTAAGAAGAGGGAATGCCTTTCTAACATATCTCCATTATTACTACTGTAAATAAATTCTTCCTCCATTATGCTATTTATTATTTGTGCACATGAACAGGATACAAATATCCTGCTACCTCACTGAATTATTTTACTGAATTAGTTTTCCCTTTCACTTCCAAGACTTTTCCAAGTATGTCATCAGATCATCTGTAAATAGATACTTTGCATTTTTTCATCCCCCCTCCCATGATGCTTGCCTCTCCTTGTCTAGTTGCACTGATAATAACTCTAGTATAAGATGAACAGTTGCATGCATAGTGGATTCCTAAATGCCTTCCTAATTTTAGTGAAAGTGCCTCTGTGATTTCTTCTTTAAATAAGACCAGTACTGGCATTAGGACTAAGTATATCTATCTTATTGATGTATTATTAATTATATAATGATTATAATACTTTATCGATATCAATATAGTCTTATTTGTTTTGTTTTGTTGTGGTATTTGGAATCAAATCAGGGCCTCAAGTATGCTAAGCAAGTGCTCTACCACTGAGCCCTCCTGGAGTGTTTCCTCAATATCACAAATGGGTGCTGAATTCTGTCAAAGCCTTTTTCGATATATATGAAAGTATTCAATGAAGTTTTTTTTCCTTAGATTTATTAGTATAATATATGATCCTACTAAGCAGTAGGTTCTCCCATTTCTGGAATAAATTTCATTTGTTCTAGTCTATTATTTTCTCAACGTGGTGTTAGATTCCATTTACTAATACTTTGCTTAGGTTTTTGCTTCAATAATCAAGTATGACATTGGTCTGTATTTTTCTTCTTAATGTCTTCATGAGGTTTAGGTGTCAATGTTATATTTTCTTCATAAAAGGTATTAGAAAGTTTCATTCTATACTCCAGGATAATTTATAGACCACTGGAACTATCTGGTCTTTGTAGGTTTTGTGGCATATCCCTATGTAACCACATAGGCCTCATGCTTTTCTGTATCATGGTTCATTTCCTATTTCTTCTGTGAAAGATGGCATTTGTGTAAGTTTTCTATCTCTAATGGGATTTTATTTATTTTTGAGATGGGAGATCTCACTATGTTTCCCAGGCTGACCTTGAACTTGAGATCGTCCTGTCTGTTTCCGGAGTAGATGAGCTTTAGGCAAGCACCACTGCAGTCTGCTTGTTTGTTTGTTTGTTTTGAGGTGCTGGGGGTCAAATGCAGGGCCTTGTGCACGCTGAGCAAGCACTATGCCACTGAGCTACACACCCATCCGTGATAAGAATTTTAAATAGTAAAGCCACAATGCAAAATACCTTGGTAGTTTCTTATGAAAGTATATATTTGCAATACAACTCAGCAACTGCACTGTTGGAAATTTATGTCAAAAAAATGAAAATGTATGTTCACAAAAAAACCTGTAATCAAATTCCATATTTGCTTTCTTCTTAATAGCCCAAATTGGGAAAAAACCCAAACATTCTTCAGCAGGTGAATGATCAAGTACACAATGGTAGATCCATATAACAGAATACTACTCAGTACTAAAAAGCAATAATGATAATGTATGCAAGAACATGTGGGTAGATCACAGGACACTATGGTCGGTGAAAAAAGCCAATCACAAAAGATTACATTTGCGTAGCATGATTCCATTTACATAACATTCTCAAAATAACAGACCTGTTGAGATGGAAGACAAATTGGCAGGAACAGGGATAGGGACTGTAGGGAAAGGTTGCAGCTATACAGAAATGGCACAGGGAGTTCTTTTGTGATGGAATACAAATTTATACCGACTCAATGAAAGAGCTACATACACAGAGATTAGTATATGTAAAAACCAAATAAGGTCTACAGTCCAATTAACAGTATTATACCAATGTTGATTTCCTGGTATTGATACTATACTAAAATTACATAGATGTCACCATTAGGGGAAGCTGGACAAAGGGTTCATAGAACTTTATGAACAAAATATTTATTACAAAAATAGCTTTTAAGTGAAATAAATAAATATTATCTGTATGCCAATAACTTTACAATGTGTATCCTAATTTTAAACCTGTCCTCTTGAGTCTTGGACTTTGTTTCTAATTCCCATACAAGATCTCTACCTGGAAGCCTCAAAGATTTCTCAAATTTAAATGCCCAAACAGAACCCTTAATTGCACCCACATACCCACTCCCTCTCAATCTTTCCCAATGAAGGCTACCCAGTTTGTTTAAACTAGAAATGCATTAGCAGTAGATTACTCCTTTCTCCCCATTCCTGAATCCACACCATCAGAAAATCCTTACGAACTCTACTGACAACTACATCTCAAATCTACTCATTTCTCTTTCCCTCCTCTGGCCTCCCAACATCACTCAACTTCAGTGATTGTAATAACTTTCTTTCTGATTCCAACTCCATGACCAACCCTTCCCAGATAGAACCAATGACATTTTCTATTTTAGGCCTTTCTTCCCTTCATAGCATTCAATATCATCTTTAAATATCTTATTTATATGTCTTTTTTTTTTTTTTTTTGCTATGTCTTCTCCACAAGAATGTCAGCTCCATCAGGGCAAGGCACCACTGAACCCCTACCACACAGTACAGCACAGTGCCTACAACAATGTCAATGCATAAAAAGTACATACATTATAGAAGAACTGTTTTAGTTGTTTTATGAAAATATGTTGGGCTGATTTCTGCTGACAAGCTACCCCAGGATACAGTGAAACCTGGCCTTTTCCACACAGTTGTTCTAATTGCTGTTACTCTTTTTTGCTTACTCTGTCTTTGGAGAATTCCAAGGCTGGAATTCAATGCTCTATCTTCCAAATATGTCATGTAACTTTCCCATTATTCCAGTTAACCTCTTACATAATCAGAATGTTTCCCTAGGTATTTTCTATTACATTATTTCAGTATTCTATCCAACAAATTTTGCTAACATTACTTCTCCCATGGATCTTACTATATTGTTATTATGTTATGTGCAGGTTTAACTCCTTGTTGTTTTTTTTTTCTCTCAATCAATCTTTACAACAACCTGACAAGGTATGTATTTTTATTTTAACTTCACAGATGAGGAGCCAGGGATACAGTGAGGTTAAATAACTTGCCTAAAGACAAAGACTTGGGAAGTACTAGGGTTAGCATTCAAATCCTGCCTTGTCTATTTGATTCTAGAGACCAGTTTATACTATTTGCCTTACTTTGTTTTCTCTTTCCTGAAGAAATAGAGCTGCTAGTTTCTCTACTCAGAAGCTTATTTTAAAGAAGAATAAAATGGTCACCAGAGAAGGAAGGTAGTTTTTCCTAGCAGGGGTAGAAAAACAAGGATTCAAACCACAGCTATCTATTAGGCCAATAAATTTTTTTATTACTTCAAGAATTCTTAATCAGAGGCTCAGAAATTACAAAGATGAACTTCAGAAGTCTTTGGAATGGCTTAGAATTATAAACAAAATTTTTGTCTATGTACATCCATTTTTCTGTAGAAATGGTCCAAAGCATCAGAAAGAGATCTATGATTTCCTAAAAGGTTAAGGACTACTATTATAGAATAATAATAAAATAAAACATGAACCACATAAAATAAATGTGATTTTCAATGTACAAGTTCATTTTAAATTCATTTTCATTCTTATTAATGAAAATAATTATTTAGAAAATACCACAACAATTTTAACTCTTATCATTCCCAATATAATTTAAATATAGATACTCCTAAATTTACAATGGGGTGATGTCCCAATAATCTCAGTATAAATTAAAAATATTATTTAACATACACCTGACCTACCGCATATTCCAGCTTAGCAGCACAACACACTGGAAAATCTCCACTGTCTTCCCTTGTAGTCAGGTGGCTGACTGGGAGCTGTGGCTCCTACCAATCCCCAGCACTGCAAGCACTGCTACTGTATATCACTATCCCAGAGAAGATCAAAATTGAAGAACTAAAGTATGTGAATACTGCTTTTGCACTAACATTAAAGTTGAAACATCCTAAATCAGGGATCATCTGTACTTTAAATATAAAAAATTAATACATTCAAAATATCTTACATTCTTCAGGCTGGACAGATGAATAATTCCCAAGGTTTAGTAACTGGCTGGTAAATGTTGATTGGAGTACTGTCTCACCAACCCACTGATCCTCATGAATAGTAACATCTACAGAGGAAAATAAGATTCTAGTCAGGCCATAAATTCCTTTATACTCTGCTTTATTTACCAATCATAGAAAAATAGTATGCACACCTCCCACATGGCAGACAACTAAAAGTCAGATAGGTTAAATGACCTGCCTAGAGACACAAAATGACAAAATAGCAAATCCAAAATGTTGAACCGAGGTCTATCTGTATATAAGGGAGAAAAAACCCAACTGCTTCTACTTATTCAAATTATGTCAATATGGAAGCTCACTGCTCTACAGAGAAAGTTCCATTTATATAAGAAAACTTGTTCTAATGTATAGTTCTGATAAATTAAAAATAAACATTTTAAGATCAGGAAGCAATGTAGTGGTACCAAAGCAGCATGCCTAGATGAGCAATAATATTCAGAGTGCATTGGTCCCTTCTGCTGAATATACATGAATATAAGGCAGTTTTTAAAGAACCTGATTGTTTTCCCCTAAACAACACGGTGATAATCTTCTATAGATGCTAAGTAAAATGCTTTGGGGGTAGGGAACATTTTCCAATGGGAAAGAAAGAGCTATATGATCCAAAATGGATAAAGAAGAATCGTTTAGTGGAAGTAAACACACCAAGAGGTTGAAATAATTCTAGATATAGCAAAAACTGTAGGTTGTAAGCGGGGTTCAGGAGAATAACTCCCAAACAGGATATAATCATTGTACAAAGTGTCAGTAGTATAAAAATATTAACAGTAGCAAAATAATTTGGAGATGAACAGAAAGAAAATAAAGACGCATGAATTTCAAGAGATGACTTCCAAATTTATATTCTAAATTCTACCCTCAGCTTCAAGACCTTTTATCTACAACTACCTAAAGAACATTCCCACCTGGATATTCAGTTTGTTCCCCAAATTGAATTATACAAACCTGCTTTTTCTTCCATATTACTCTTCTCACTTGTGAGTACTATAGTAGTCAGATAAACCAAAAACTGGGGTCATGCTGTCTCTCCATTTCCACCCTTTGTTTTTAACCCCTACCAGCTGACTCTGCCTTTTAAAAGCTGCCTACTGCTTTGCCACTGCTACTTTTTTACACCACACATTCCTTTCCTAACAGGTCTTCCCACCCCATGGACTGGAGCTGCCCCAGCTCTTAGCTCCCCCTTTTAAGTCTGTTCCTTAAACACTGTGGTTTCCCAAGGTTAAATCCCAGGTCCTGCCCAAAGAGGGTCAGTATACACCCTTAGACAATCCTAACTGGGGACTGAACCCAGATCCTTGCACATGCTAAGTAAGTGCTCTACCACTGAGTTACTACTAATTCAAAACAATGGAAAAGTATAGATAGATTTCTTTTTTTCCTTACTATTTCCATTTGTTTCACACAAAGGAAAAGAGTAAACTGGATACTTTTTCCCTAAGGAAATAAGGCAAAACACAAAAAGCTGATTATTTTAAAAGTGTTCATAGAAATAATCTAACTGTCCTGTAACAGGAAAATAAGTTTCAGTAAAGATCACTGATAGAACGTTACCTAGATGTAAATAACTGTACAGACACTAGAAAAAAGGCATCTAGGAAGGCTCACACACTGAATGCATTTTTTTTTCACTAATAATGAGGTATATTAACTGCCAAAGAACAACATTGCAGTCTGTTCTCACCTTGCTTGTATGTTTGTTTTTTGGTGGCACTAGGGTTTGAAATCAGGGTCATACATCTACTAGGCAGGTCCTCTACCACTTGAGATACATCCCCAGCCCGTTCTCACCTTGTAAACAGTTCTACAACTGGGAGACAAATCGCAAGCAAAGAGGTATTCAATGAGCAAGGAGTCAGGAGTTAGATGAACTGACTCTCCAACAATAATACAATAACATAAAAATAGTGTTTGTTAAAATCCTGTGTTTACCTATTTTATTAGAGACTGTGCATGGCAATCCTAGAGGAACACCAGGGCACATTTACTAAGGTTCCCAACCCGCCTGCAATCCTTTAATATGATTAGTATTGTGTGCAGTGCACTGAAGTTGTCTCTTCCTAAGCTAAGGCTAACCTGTACTTACCTACCTCTTCTCTATCACATCCTTTCTTTGGTGGTACTGGGAGTTGAACTTAGGGCCTCGGACTTGCTCCATCAGTCACGTCCTTTCTTAGATAGGTTATTAAACTCAAAATCAACTTTCTCCTGGCTCTAATACACTGTGCATTAATTTAAAATCAACAAAGAACGTTAAAATGTTTAGACTACTTTGTTCTACAATGAAAAATCAGAATACAATTATTAACTATATAGTAAAACTATGTATTTTGGAGTCCTAGGTGAAAATCATGGCTTTTGCCAATTTCCCTAGGATGTGGTGACATTGTACAGGTTTATTTTTCTGGCTTTAAGTTCTCCTCAAATGAAAAACTGGGAAAATAAACAGTATCTTTCTCATACAGCTATTATAATGAGATATATACATAAAGTATATCTAAAACAAGGTCTGATACAAAGTAAGTTCCCAATAAAAATATCCCTCTATATGTGAACATAAAGAAAATAACAGAAATATACCACTCCAAAACTCTATTAGTGTTCACATGAAATTGAATATAATACCAGGAGGGTTATTTTTCCATATTTCCAAATGTGATTAATTTTAATAATAAAAAATACCATCAAAATCTATATTCCTTCAGCAAGAATATAATATACACATTGTTACTAGCAATAACACAGCAGAAATGCTATCCTTTCATCATAAGAATGCTAACGTAGTTAAAGTAAAAGGTTAAATATAAGACATACATAGACAAAACCATAAAACAATGAAAGGAGACCAATAATATGACCTGAACAGTCACATGGTGAGTGAAAAAGAGGAACAACCAGGGAAGGCTTCTCAGAGGAAACAAAATTAAATGGAGAAGGTAGTAATACAAACAGGAGAGAAGAAAGGTTCCAGAAAAATGGCAATGGGCAGGGTAATAGGCAGCAGGAAGGAGATCAACACAAATGCTACAGGGGTTCAATCATGCTGGGCTCAGAGGATAATGAAAGAGTTCTCACTTTTATCATGTGCTCAAAGTCCAATCCCATTGTGTGGTTTGCCCATGATTCCTATGTCCAATAATGAGGGAGAACATACGATTTTTGGTCTTTGGCCAGGCTAACATACTCAGAATGATGTTTCCAATTTCCATCCAATTTACCAAGCGAATGATAACATTTTGTTCTTTCTTCAATGGCTGCATAAAATTCCATTTGTGTATATATACCACATTTTTCTTAATCCATTCGTCAGTGGGTGGGGCATCTTTGGCTGTTCCCATAACTTGGCTATTGTGAACTAGTGCAACAATAAACATGGTGTGCAGGTGCCTCTGGAAGTAACCTTGTCACAGTCTTTGGTATATCCCAAGAGTGGTATTGGCCTTTGGATCAAATGGTAGATCAATGTCTAGCTGTTTAAGTAGCCTCCAAATTTTTTTTTCCAAGAGTGTTGGTACTAGTTTACATTCCCACCAACAGTGTATGAGGATAAAAGCCGAGAGCATACCAAGGAGGGGTGAGGTAGGTTAAGACACCTAAAAAATTGCTAGCAATTTGTTGCCCTTAATGCAGAGAAACTCAAGCAGATACGCATAAAAAAGCCAACTGATGCCAAATTAGGATAAGGAACCAGGACAGGAACTAGAGAAAAGTTAGCTCAAAGAATTAACTAGAAGGTAACACACCATACACACAGGAAATCAATGTGAGTCAATGCCCTGTACAGCTATCCTATCTCAACCGCAAAACCCTTGTTCCTTCCTATTAATTGCTTATACTCTCTCTACAAAAAATTAGAAATAAGGGCAAAATAGTTTCTGCTGGGTAATCTGAGGGGGTGGGGGGAGAGGGAGGGGGCGGAGTGAGTTGGTAGGGAGGGGGTGGGGACAGGGGGGAGAAATGACCCAAGTCTTGTATGCACATATGAATAATAAAAAAATAAAATAAATAAATAAAATAAAATAAAAGAAAGTTCTCAAAGACTTAAAAATGAGAGACAACAAACAGAAAACCACAGCTTTGTAAAATAAGCTGCCACTAAACCTTAATGAACTCACCTGTGAGTAAAACTTATATCTCCAAGAAACACTGTAAGTGCCCAAAATGCTGCAGTCCTCCACAGAATCAACTTTTCTCTTAAGTTTTGATTGATCGATTACTGTAATTGTTGCTAAAGGCACTTTAGAGCCAGAGTTTGATCTGGATTTTATGTTTATTTCTTTCACATGACATGGAGTTAGCACCATAACTAAACAGTTATACTTCTGATCTTTAGAATCACAATTTTTTATTAATGATATTTTTTTAATTCCTTTAAATTGATGCATGTTTCTCTGATGCATTGCTATGGCCGACACCCTTGCATCGGAACCCAACTTCAGTTTCTTAGGTGCTGGGAGGACTTCAGGCAGAGCTTTGGAATGATCCAATTTATCTTTGGAGGTCCAACTTTGTTTAACAGCACTTTGGTAGAAGGTATTTAGCTGTGAACACAGTATTCCTGAGTTACACGACTCAATACATACCTCATTTGGTGGCATTTTACCTTCAGAACTGAAAAGTTCTTGAGATTCTATATTTTCTTCAAGACCTTTTTTAGGATTTATGTGAAGGTGGCTACTTTTTGCTTCAGGACAAACAGGGCTAAAAAGCTCTAGGGAATAAGCTTGGTTTTGTTCACTTTCACATCCTTCTGCAAAATCATCATTAGGTTGAGTCGAATTATTTTCAGTTATCCTTATGTCCCCATGACCTGACTTTGGCTCAATCTCCATACGTATGGTTCCTTTATTTACAGAATCCTTCCCCTTATCCTTCTTTTGAGCTAAAAAAGCAACCTGGCTGGAGGTCATTATGCTGAGAAATTCAGTGTCAGTAGACACTTCCAAGTTTGAGACCTCCCTGATTGCTCCTTCAGACGTTGGTTCATCCACTGTGTCAGAGGGAAAGAACTCCAGACATCGGTTTTGTATTGCATGATGTTCTATTGGCACATGCTTTGTTTCTATAGTTTCTGGCCGTATGTTAATTTGTTCAGCACTATGGGCCACACATTTATGATCTAGCTGAAAGGAGTTTGTTTGAAAGTTTTGACCACATACATTTGACTGATTCTTAGGCTGTTCACCTGTAATTTTCTTATTTTCCCATGGAAGCTTTTGATCCTTTTCTTCTTCAGGTAAATGCTGAACTCTGTCCTTAAACCCACACATTTGCACATTAGAGTCAGTCACATCACTCAGCTCTGAGATGTGAGTTTTCTGGGATTTTATATTCTGTATCTCAGAAGTAGAATGTATATAGTCATCTTTCAACTGAACAGATCTATTCACAGATGTCGCTAAAAAATGACCACTAAGAAGGTCTGGAAAGTCAGCAGCTTCTGGGACTTGACAATCTTCCAGATTTTGGAGTTTGTGGTTATCATCCTTAAGGTACAAAGACTGTTGACTGTACAGAAGCTGGATTTTTTTCCAGGGGTCAGCAGTGGACATTAAGGAAGTTGTTCCCTGTGATTCTGAGATTTTCAGTGGACCAACTGGGGCGCCCCAAAAAATGTGGACTTGAGATCCTCCACTCATAATTTCTAATAAAAATGAAAAATTCAAAATTAATTTTTGTCAGATTTGCATATGTTAATTTAATAATGTACGAAAATAAACTATAGTATAAAATATGAATCAAAAACATAATTAACAGAGATGATTTCTTTGGGTATGCCATTTAATTACAAAATTTACAAATACACAAGAAATCATAAATCAAAATAGTCATCAAAAAATTTTCATCTCAAGACTCTCAGAAGAAAAGCTAAACATCAAACTAATAAATAAATTTTTAGTATGTTCATATCTCATTTTGTAAACTATTGCTCCATTTAAATAACAATTTAGTTAAAATTGGGGGAGGTATTCATTTAATTTTATCATAGTCCCCTTTAAATTACCTGTTTTTTTACTCCACATATCTCAATAAATTTTGGGTTCCATTCCTTCAACTGTGAACTCAATTTCCAAACAAAGGCAGAAGACACAAACTGGAAGGCACGAGTATAAAAAAGTAAGGCTTTCTTTGAAATGTACAAGTGATTGTATTCACTATCTTCATTCCAATCCATTAGTACAATCAGTAATTTTGTCTGTAGTTTTCATTTTCTCTACAATATAGATTGGTAATAATCATTTTATAATATTTAGATAAAGAAGAAACTCATTCATCATTTAAACCTTTTTCTTTCTTTTTTTTTGGCAGAACTGGGGTTTGATCTCAGGGCTTCGTGCTTGCAAGGCAGGCACTCTACTGCTTCAGCCATGCCTCCACCATTCACTTAAGCTTTTTAAATTTATTATTATTGAACCAGGTGCTGGTGGCTCCACTTGTAATCATAGCTACTTGGGAGGATTAGGAGGACCACAGTTTGAAGCCAGCATAAGCAAAGAGTTTGCAAGACCTCATTTCCAAAAATAACCAGAGCAAAATGGATTGGAAGTGTGGCTCAAGCTACAGACCGCGTGCTTTGCAAGCATGAAGCTCTGAGTTCAAACCCCAGTCCCACAAAAAAAAAAAAAAATTATGGCACTCGAACAAGAATCATAACAAAAAAAAAGTTAGTATATTCATAATTGACTTTAAACAACTCTATTCCTAGAATTCACTGAAAACATTTTTATAGGGCTATAGGAGCAAAAACCAAATAAGGTTCTGGGCCTGGTTTTTTTTTGTTTTTTGCTTTAAAGAGAGAAATAGTGAATATAGTAATTTCAAAATAAAGCTTAGTGCCAGTAGCTCATGCCTGTAATCCTAGCTACTCAGGAGGCATAGACCAGGAGGGTCGCAGTTGAAGCCAGCCTGGCAAAGAGTTCCATGAGACCCTATCTTGAAAAACCCTTCAAAAAAACAGGGATGGTGGAGTGACTCAAGGCAAAGGCCCTGAGTTCAAGCCCCAGTACCGCAAACAAACAAACAAACAAAATAACATAATACTATAAGCTAAAAACAGGAAATGGTAACCAGCTACTGGGGAAGAGTATTGCTACGGTTGTAGTTACGAGCATTTCAAGTAACAGATAAGACCTGTAAAACAGCAGAGTTATAAGAAACCCTAACCTATGTTAAGGGCAGTGGTTTAGAATACAAGGTCCAGTGTGAAAACAAAAGTAGGCATCAAACCATGAAAAGCCCATACTATGGAGATTTAAAGAGTAAAAATGCATTAAAAAGTTATCTTGAAGAGTGAATGGGTAGGAAAGACCAGGATTGTTAGGTTACATGTAGAGATTAGTGGCAATGAATTTAAAATTGTGTATTTATGGCTCTAGTTATGAGGAACAAGATAGCTATAGTCCTCAGCCACTCTAATTGTTTCTTAAAGATTTGCTCATTGTTACCTCTTTGAAATCTGATCGCCTGATTATAACTAACACCAGTATCAATGTGGATGATCTTCCTATAACCTGTTCTCGTGGCTCCTTGACTTCCTCTCCTTGGTTCACTTTATTTTCCACCTTATCTCAGTCACTCATTTCCATAATTACATACAATACCATTATCAATAACTACAATACCCCTTCTTATTTCACCATTGAGTTTTCAACTCTGACTACATTCTCCTACCTTCCAACTTACTCACTTTAGATGCACAATTCCAACAGTTCTTTGACCACGTAGGTCTGCAAGGAATGCGTTGGTCACACTACATTTTCTATGGCATCACTCTTCACTTCCCTCAACTGAAGTTCTATGGTCTATTGTAATCATTCCCTATCGTTTATCTCTTACCCCACTGTTAAGTCCTGTAAGGCACGTGAGCAGCTAAACTCAATCTCTGGTTGAATCATCATCTACTCTGACTAACTAGAAGAAAAAATACATAATCATCTGAAAACTGGTCTCATTTTAAATTCATTACCACTAATATCAACGTGAACCCAGCAATCCTGTCCTTCCTCACCCGTTAACTCTTCAAGATGACTCCGATACCTTTTCACTCTTAAATCTCCAGCATTTCCTGTCTTATCTTCATGCACAGCAGGTGGCCATGTTACTTATTTTCATTCACAAGCTCAACAACACATCTACCAATCCAGCTCTGTGATCCATACACTCTGCCTACCTTCCTGTTACTGTAGCTGAATATCCACACTTCTATACAAGTGTATAGAAGTCCCACATTCCTATTCAGGCTATAAAAATTCTCCCTTCTCTCCTACATCACAGATTTTTCTCTGTAGTGGAGCACTAACATACAAACATGTTGTTATATTTTTCCCCATGATTTTAGTTCTCATCTCCTATACTTGAATACTGAAGACTTGAATACTTGTTTTCCTTTTGGAAGTCTGGAATTTTGGTATGAGCTAGGCAGAAAGTAGCTATGTAACTAGGACTTCTTAGAGAAATGACTAAATCCAGGTTTGGGCAGAAAATACACAAATGAACCTGAAACATCTCATCACATCAGAACACAACACAAAGCTATCAAAGACTATTAGGATAGTATCAAAAGAACTCAGGAGCTAACTTAAAGAAGTTTCCACTGGCTAAAAATGGGCAATTTGTGCATCAATAATGAAAATAAATATAAGCACATCACATATGTATAATCACAATCAAATATGTTTAAGTCCATGAGTACATAAAGATAATTAAGCAAGCTCACTCAGTGGTGACTTTTACAGAATACAAAAGGGACTGGTTGTCTTTAAAGGTGATAAATTGGGCCAGATGTGGTAAGCACATACCTGTATTCCCAATACTTATGAGTTGGAGGCAGAAGGACCTTGAGTTTAAGGCCAGCCTGGGCTATATACAAAGATTCTCACTCAAAAGAAAACAAATAAATAAAGCTGATGAATGAGAGGAAAGAAAATCTATCCTTTCTACACTAACAGTATCTCAAGATAACCAACTATGTGTTGAGAAGAAATCACTCTTTAAACAGGTATTCAGTATAATCAGAAAAGGAATGATAGACTATCATCATTTTGTAACTCCTCATGAATTAATGGATCTTTTAGGTAATTATCATTAATGGTTGCTGACATCAAGATAGATGCTACAGAGCTGAGTGTAATCCTAATCCTAGCTACTCGGGAGGCAGAGATTGAGATCGAGGTTGCAGTCAGCCCAGGCAAACAATTTGCGATACCCTATCTCCAAAAAACAACCAGAGCAAAATGGACTGGAGGTGTGGTTCAAGTGTGCAGCACCTGCTTTGCAAACCCTGAGTTCAAACCACAGTCTCACCAAAAAATAAAGAAATAATAATATAGATGTTGTAAAAGAGAGTTGGATAGATTGAGGCCAATTGCAATGTATGGTTCTTTATTTAGATCATGATATGGACAAATAAATGTAGAAGTATTATAGGAAACTGGAAAAACTGAAACATTGATTGCTATTAGGTAACATTAGAGGATCATTGTTATTTTTTAGTGGGACAAGGTTATTGAGACTATGTTAGAAGAGTTATGTGCTGGAGTGTTTGCAGATAAAATGCATGACACCTCAGATTTCTTCAGAATTATAGAAGGGGGAGGGAGTGAGATGAAACCGGCATAGTTATATCTTGGTAATTATTGAGGCAGGGTGATAAGACACATAGCAATCCACTGTAGTGATCAATCTACTTTGGGGCATGTTTGAAATATCCTAGAGCTATAGTCAGTTATAAGGCAAATAACCCTCCATCAAACCCTGGGTTTGGTGATGGGGGAGGGGATGGAAAGAAGGAGGGAGGAAGAGAGAAAAAGAAACTGACTTTTGTTAACAAAGAGGACTGTCATAGTGATTCAAGTGATAAAGTGCCTGCCTAGCAAGCATGAGGCCCTGAGTTCAAATCCCAGTACTGCAAAAAAAAAAAAAGATGACTTTTCTTAATAAAGGCTTAAAAAGACTGGCTTCTTTTTAAGAAGTCAGTATATTATACTTACAGGACTGGGAAAAGTTTTAAACAGTCTGACAAAACTCAAGATTGGGGAAATTGCTACAAAAATGCCAATTTAGCACAGCACTTTGAAGAACAATTTGGTAAAATACAACAAAACTGAGGAGACACATTCCAACAAAACAAGTTTTTGCTATGGTAAACTGTTACACATATATTCACAAGAAAACACATACAAGAGTGATCATGGGAGACATTATATGCAAAAAATTAATAACAACCTAAAAGTCTGTAAAGAAGACAATGGATAAAGCATGAAATATTCAGAGTTCTATTACTGTATTTCAGCAAAAATAAAGGAACAAGAGACACAAATCAACATATATGCATCTTTTTGTTGGTTTTTGTTGTTTTGAGATAGGGTTTTGCTATGTGCTCAGCTGACCTTGAACTTGCAATTTAGCTTCAGGTAACTTCAAACTCTCAGTCCTCTGCCTCTGCCTCCCAAATGCTGGGATTAAGAGCTCACACCTTGCAGGGGGAGAAATGACCCAAACAATGTATGTACATATGAATAAATGAAAAAAGAAAAAAAAAAAAAAGAGCTTACACCTTGGGCTGGTGGAGCGGCTCAAATAGTAGAGTACCTGCCTAGCAAGTGTGAGGCCCTGAGTTCAAACCCCAGTACCAGAAAAATGCATATTGGGATGAACCAAACCAGGGTACAATATATGTATATATGGAAACCTCACAACAAAACCCCCTATATAACTATCATAAACTAATAAAAACATTTTTTAAAAAAGCACAAATAGGAGGATCATGGTCCAGACAGGCCCAGGCATAAATGGGAAACCCTGTCTCAAAAACAACCAAAGCAACAAAGGCTGGGGGTATGAGTCAACTGTTAGAGAGCCTGTCTGGCAAATATAAGGCCTTGTGTGCAAACCCCTGTACTGTCAAAAACTTAATTAATTAAACAACAAAAAAGATTATGATTCTTAATAATCTACACTTTACTTATTTGTGGTACTGGAGTTTGAATTTAGGGCCTCGCACATCCTAGGCAGGCAGTTTACCATGTGAGCCACTCCACCAACCCTTTTTTGTGATGGGTATTTTTGAAGCAGGATCTCACAAACTATTTGCTC